AGCGTCTCACGTTAATATGAACATTAGCGGCAACTTCTTCACATTATTACATTTAATAGTGCATGCGCTTTAAATTGTCTTAAAAAGTTTGTCGAAAATTGAAACCTTTTCTGTGAAAATGAGTTAAAAATTTGGCATTTTCAGGAACGCTAAAACGCCTTTTTTTTAAAAAAAAAAACTGCTCTTATTTTCTTCTCCAAACCTTTCGTACGGATGCAGCGAATTGCACTGTTTAAGATGGCATTTGTTTGATGTTTTCTTTTGTTGTTTTTTTAATTACACTTTTTTATTTTAAATATCTCTCACGTATTCAATAAGCACATTTCCAGCGATTATTATACATTATTGCATTGTTATTGAGGAAGCGCTTTGACCTCCAATAGTTTTTTCAAAAACTCAAAAGATTACTGCGAAAAATAGTATTTACATTAACGCTTACATCGCCATTTTCTCATAAACGACTCCAAATTTGGCAACGAAACTTTTCTTTTATGACGAGGTTTTACTCTTCTATAATATTTTTAAAGTAATATTTCAGTTCTATTAGGATACAATGAAGCAAATTTAAAATCATTGACTGTGTCACACGCATAGTGTTTATACTGCGATTTTTGTGCCCCTCAAGGCCCTACTTCACGGTGGTATTATTTCACTGTCTTTCTAAGTCGTGCCGCTAGAAGTCTCAATCGCGACCATATCCAGCACTGCTGTGGTCGCGATCATGCGACACCTAGGGAAACGACGGAAAAATATACGAAAAACAGTGACATAATGCAACCGTGAAGTGGGGCCTTGACAGCACGAGTTTGAAAAATCGCTGTAAAGAAGGTTACGAGCGATATACTTTATTCTAAGCGAGAATTTTCATATACAGTAGACAATGTTTTATAGAGTATCGTGTAATTCGTTAGTTTTGTGACTTAATGACTATTTCAAGTTATAATTAACTTAAAATAGGTATTTAAAACGATCATTATAATTAACAAAATGTCATAATTTTATCACAAATAATTAATTCCTTCAATTAGAAATAATTGTTAGCTCGAATTCTACATCAAGTTAATTTTTCCGTGAGAACATTTTTCCCTGTATTTTTTCTGAAATTGAAAATCCATATTTTCCAGAAAGTGGTCATTTTATTACAAAAATCACATCACATATTTATGACAAAATTTGTGATAAAAGTTTATCTGAGATTTTTTTATTGGTAAAACTATAGGTCCATTACATTTCTTTGAACATTTAGCTTCCATCAGAATTTCACTTTAAGGAAAAAAATCTGTCTTCAATTTTGTAATTGATGGAATGCACCGGAAAAAATTCAACTTCTGAAGTTTTTGGAAATTTACAGCTAGAGGTGAAACTTAATGGCAAATACACTAGTAAACAAATTTTTACAAACATTACAATTTTTACCATTAAATATTGTGCTAAGATACTGGTTTAAATGAAACACACACAGGACGAAAATTGCAAAATGCAAAAGGGGGGTATTGAACTTTAACATTTTTAATGATAAAAGAATTGAAAGAAAAGGCCCATATCTACGAAACTATGGAAAATATTATATTTCCGGAGGCAAAAACTAATTTCAAATTTAATATAGTTTCAGAAAATGTCAGTTGCCACATTCGAACGATAACTGTGCCATCTAATGGAATTTCCCGAATCTCGAGTTCGTCAAAAGTTCCAAAATCATGTTCATCTTTGACACATCCTACCTCCTAAACTATTCCATCCACAAGGCTGAGATTTACACTGTTCATTATTAGGACATCATTTTCCATATACGTACACATAGAAAAAGATAAAATTTTGCTGCGGAAAATCGATTTCGAGATTTCAACGGAAATGTAATCATGTTTAGGATTTTTTCCAAATTGAAGAAACCCCTGTACATCTTGCTCGAGTTACTTTAAGAACTTTCTTTAAAATTTAGGGGTCCTTTACATAAAGCCACTGGAATTTTCTCAAACCGGCTCTTAATTTTTTTCTTTTACATTTCTTGTAAGAATAGAGTAAAACACATTGACGAAGGTGGCATGTCCGATTTTCACGGTTAACTATGAATTTTCGAAAATTTTAATTTTGTTCGGAGTCTTCTTACAATCTCAAAATTAAAGAGAGATATTTCTTTCAAATGAAATTCGTTGTCCATAATTATTTCTTTCACTAAGGCCACGTTCATTTTTTTGAAAATTACAATACTTTTCGCACAATGTGCTCTTTTTTTTTTTTTTAAACGGCTCAATTTATTCTTTCAGCTATTGGTAGAGATAGTGCTAAATGCACTCTATAAGATGATGAACGCCATATTGCTCTTTTCTTTTGATTTTTCCAAAATTATAAAAAATTATTTTTTTTACTTGTCTTTCAAGTTATTTATATTCGCGGCAATTCGTTCACGTTTTTATATTTATGACTACATGTGCTTCAACTGTCACATTAAGTTTCTCGAAAACTCAACGGAAAAAACCGCTCAAATTTCCGAATTTTGAAATACATTCTAACACCAGTTTTTCAAAAACCGCTCCAAATGTTTCCTTCAAGCTTTTCAATAGGATAGATATGACGTTAAGTTCATTTCGGGATATTTTTTTCCAAAAATTACACTATGTAATTTTTTTAAAGATCTCCCCCGCCATTATAATGCACATTCTTATTGTTAACATTCTTGCCAATCAGTTAAAGTGCTTTAAAAGACTTCTAATGAAGTTTTTCAAAAACTCAAGTTTTCTGGAGGAGGAAAAAAAAAACACTTGAAATTTCGCAATTTCCAGTAATGCTTAAACGTCATTTTCTAAAAACGGTTCCAATTTTTCTATGAAAATTGCCATATGGTGCGCGTTTACAGAGTTTTAACATTCTTATAATAATATTTTAGCTCTATTAGGAAATTGATAAATTTAGAAAATTTCAATAAAATATACTTTAGGCGTTGATAGATGGCAGTTGGTAAGAGTATGCAACAAGTCAGACTGAAGGAGAAAAAAAACTAATACAGGAAAGTCTGTTCCACTCTGTAGCACCTCTAGTTTTTATCTGATTTATATTCCGTACTTGCTTGCTTGAAGAACATGAAAAGAACCTGGTCTGCTTGCCTAAGTTTGTGTTTTGGCGTATCTTGTTTTGATACTCAAAATAGGCATTTATATGGTACTTTTACATATCCAAAATCTAAAGGAAATGCAAAATATGTATACAATTCTACTACTGACAATTGCACCATAAATCCTTTCTGTGCAGTATAAAGCACAGCTTTTCGACAAAGGAGTTCAATAATTTCTGTATCAAAAGTAATTTTTAAGGCTCATCGAAAGACGTTTAAATTAAAATGAAAGGAATTGGAATTATGGCAATGTAACAAAAATGTTGAATTGCATTTATGAAGAGTTATTTCCCCCCTTCAGTTTCAAGTTGTTTTTTCATGATCTAGATTTTTCCCATACTTTTAAAATTTGTGTCACCAGAATGGTTATTTACAATGACGGAACTAGAGGTATATATAACTTCTTTTTGTGAACAATGTGGTTCAAATGATTCATTCTGAACCATGAATTCTCTCAAATTGAAATCATATTGTATGTCCTTCTTCTCTTTCAGAATCGGCATTGTCCCATTGCTTTCTTTCTTGACCTAAAATCTCACAACCCAGGTCCATAAAAGTAGTAGTTTCATGATTGTCACTGCCGCCATCATTGCGGTCCCTCGTGGCACCATCAATAGGCTTCAATGCCACTTCAATTTCATTGGCAGCCTCCATACCTGACACAATTCCAGTTCCGTCATCTAATACTTCACTTATTCATTGGAAAAGTTGTTCTGTATCTTTCCTGCAATACTACATCTACTTTTATTCAACTATCACAGAGAAATCAAACTATTATGTAAACCAAGTTCTGTAGTTTAAGATGATGTATCTGGTAAATGTTTCATATCCAAAAAGATGTGATGAAATCAAAATCAGATAAAATATAAATGAATTACTTTACTTACGTCAGTACTATTCTAAGAGTATTCTGACACTGTAATATAACCAATCACAACCACATTCAATTGAAAATACATCTTTCAATATAATCTACCATCAATTAAAAACAAAAACATTTTTAATATGACTAATAAATTAAGTAATTATATTATGACATCAGTTTGATATATCAAACAGTGGGGTGTAATGGGTTAAAGTAGTGAAATCTGCAGTATTGTTTTTAAACATTTTTAGAAATGTTCACACCTTAAAACACTTTGTCGTCAGCAATGAGGTCAATTCGTGTCTTTGGTGATGTTGGAAAACCAACATAGCAGGCTGTCATTAAAATCCAGCAGTTTGATGAAGTGTTTGCAATGGTGATTGAAATATTAATAGAACAAAAGTTGCATATACATGTAACCATTACAAATAATATGAAAAAGTCTGTGTTATGTTGTAGCACCACTAGCATATTTGAGGCCATGGGAGAAATAGTGGACTAACTGCATAAGAGCAAGAGTGGTTTAACTGCACTGTTGGTAGGTACTAAATGACAGGCCACTTTAATATGGTTTGCAGAATGGAGCTAATGCACTCACTTCCTCTATTTTGTTTTATTTCGAAAGTGAACAAGTTGAATTAACCCATTTATGTCCAGAACTCCTTTTTGTTTCGGATTTTTGTAATGTATAGCTCAATTTGATATAAAACAATAGTTCCAACGCTGAACAGTGATTTGAAGACTTCATTCTACAATGAGCCATGCCTTTACCATTCAGTGGGACACTACATTTGACACATGCTTCATGTCCTACTCCAGCAAGCACGCACTGTGTTCAGGGCCCATTGCACGTAATTATGTGCTGACCAGACAATTGAAGAGATTATGCAGGACTGCAGAGATGGTCCTCATACTCTAAGATTCACCTTACTTCAAGATTGTATAAACTATCTGCCTTCTTAACTTAAAAGCATCATGCTAGAATCCATATTTTCTTGATAGAAACCAAGAATAATTATGCAGACACCCACCAAGACAGATTCGGCATGCACCATTTCATACCTCGAAATCCAATTTGATACAGAGTTCGTTTGATTTACTCCCCCCCATATTTTTATTATTATTTACTATGTTTAGTTGGGGAATATTATCTTTTACTGAATATATTGTAGCTTTTAGGACAGGAAATACACCAAACTGGATAATGCAGATGCATTACTGTCATTCTACAGACAATGCCATTACGGTCAATCAATTGCACTATTGTATGATCCTCTTATTTTTCTTTTTCAATACTTTTGGATCCACCAGGACATTTTTCCATCCTATTGACCTCACAGCACTTATGCCCCTCAACCCTACATCCCCTACTTAATGAGAACAGGACTTGCAAAGAAATTATCATAAAAGAGAGAAAATTTCATATCCTGAAACTTGTTTCTGCAAGATCTGAGCAAATTGCAAAACAAGAGATTCACCCAGCCCTACTTTTGCAACAGATACTTTTCAATCCACACCTTCTCTGGCCTCAGTAAATGTCAAAATTAACACTATCCTGAAGATGATGAAAGAACCCACTCTTGAAGCCAAAGCATATAGGCTTCCCGAAATATAAACTGTTTACATTTTTATCAGAAAATGGGATCATTGATTCATCAGTGGACAATGTAACTGGGAAATATCTCAAACTATTCATTGAGTATCTCAATCATGGGATGCAATTTGACAAATTTATCACTTCATTCTAACTTTGTTTAATCAGTTGCATGTACAAATCTGAATATTTCTTTATTTCAGTTTCGTTGTAACCATCAGCAACTAAGCCTATCAGGATCATATCACTTGAAACCCCGACCGACACTTCTTCACAATTGTCAATTGGGAGAGTAATGAAAATATTCGACTCCACACACTCCAGTTCTTCTCGAAACTGCGCTTTTGATGTAGTTTGTTATGTCTAGTGCTCTCAAGGTCGTTAACAACTCACCCATATTTATACCACTTATTTATATATTTTTCATATTACTTTTAGAAAGCCTTTTTATTCCATTGAATAGATGTATGTTTTATTATATTACATCAGTAAATATTAGCGAAAAAAACACCCAAACAGGATATTGCATGCCAATAATATTTATCGTGGTGTGTACCTTTTGCAGCTAGATTCACGAGTGACTTTCACTAGTTTTGAAACTGTGAAGCATTGAATTTATAAACAAAAGATTGCTTAATTGCGCAGGAAAAAAGTTGTCACACTCGACTCTACACACATTTTTTAGATATTTTGAAACAGAATCCAAATCTGAAGCCAGAATTGCCCCATTGCCCCATTGTTTTGTTTCTTTTTTTACCGGGGAAACAAAAAGATCCAGCTTTTTTAATTCATATATAAATAAAAAAGAAAACATTTTTTAGTGTCTGTAATCACTTGCATTTGCATTGAGACATTACCAACTCTGTGAGCATAAATGGGTTAAAAATTTTAGCGGTTTTCCATGTGCAACAGATTTTCTTTTGTTAGTTTTAATTAATTATGTAATTTCAATGTATGTTGTCTCTCTTCTCAGTATCATTAAATTGCATTATAACAAAAGTGAAATATTTTGCAGATTGCTGAAGCAGCAGATGCAGAGTTCTCATCTTTTCACCATCTATCAGATTTGCAAATGTCCCATGGTCAGCACTTTGCATTTCATGGCAACAGAAGACACTATCTGAGCTAAGCAAAGAGATGTAATGTCACAAAGCGAAGAGATGTACTTTCAAGAAACAAAGAGGAAATAGTTTGAGAATAAACCAAAATGACATTAATTACTGTTTTGTCAATGTTTCCTTACTTCCTTTCCTTCCAAAATGATATTTCAAAAAAACTTTCATGTTTCAAATAAATAAGAATACAAAATTTTCCATATTCTTTTATTATATTATTATTATTGAATTTTTTTTACATGTCCTTATTCCACTATTGCTTGGCCAAACTCAAAATTTTTCTTTCTTTTTTGTTTTAGCTTCATAAACCAAAGATTACAAGTTCAAATAAGGGAAGTTTCAAGCCTCACTTCAATTGGAATTTCAAATTTTTAAAGAATCAGATATTCACAAGCAAGTTTATGAAAAGTCCAAATTATTTTGTCCAAAGAGATTTTTGAGTCAAGGTCTTTAAATACATGCCATGATTTGAGAGGAATTATCAATGTCTAAGAGAAACAAACAACCACTGGATGCCAAGTAGGAAAATGTTAGGCATGTCGCTAATAAGTATCAGAATGGCAAATGTTCAACACTATTATTTCAAACTATTACAGAAATGAGGTAATTATAAACTTTTCATAATATTGCATATTTTCAGAATTCCCTACTAAAAATGAGCCTATTTGTCACTTTTGAAGATCAATTTTATGTTGTCAGAATTGTTTAATATGCTCCTTTTGAAGAAATATAGGAAAAAAATGGCAGGAGACTATAGGACGTGTACCTCTGTAAATATTGTTACCAATTTTTTTTAAACAAGAAATCAATGCATATTATTATGTCAAGATATTTTATGAATAATTTTCGAATCAATTCTAGTTTTCAATGTCATAACGATTTGTTCAGCTCAATGTATCCCAAACTAATTTCATTATAATCTGAATTAATAATTATTAATATAAACCATTAAATATCGCATCCACTCCAAAATCTTACAATTCCAGTAAAATTGTATTTTGGCAGTCAACTCACAATCACATGTTGGGATAATGCGAGACAAACAAAAAGATACAAAACCACACAACAAATGTGTTCTTGGGATCATGAATACGTGGTTTGTGGATACATTCACAGAATTGAAAAGAAATAGCTACTAAGAATAAAAACACAAGTGATGCTGGCAAGAGAAATCCATTCAGTCCTTTTTTTCTCCTTCTTCATTGGCTTTGTTTTCAGAAGCATGGGATCTGCAACAAAACAATTTTAGATTTGTTAGAAAACAATAACACTATACTTCCCCCACAAACCCAAACATATCCATGATTGCTTAATTCACAAACATTGTATGTCCATCCATGGTCATTTCAAGTGTTATATAACATTACATTTTAAGACTTTACAAAGACTTTTAGGTCTATGTAAGAGGAATTGTGCTTTCTGCCAGAGAGCAAACATAGTCACTCTCTAAGAATGCAAGCAGAGTCATGAGGAAGAAATGAAACGTCTCTTTAGACAATTCTGTCTAACATGCATAAGAAACAAAATTGTAATACTGAAAATGTGGAGGGATGTTATCACTGTTTATCAATTTATTAATACCAATAAAACAATAATTATTATTTAATGAAAGTCGACTCAGGAACAGACAGATATCTCTTGAAACATTTGCCACCAAGCTCTTCATAATATATAACAGTAATAATGCATATTATTATTATTATTATTATTTAATCTGATTACTAAGCAAATAAAGCCTTAAAATAACAATAACACAAATCAGTAGTATTAATTAATGAAACTAAATAATAAAAAATAATAATATATAATTTCTTTAAAATGACTTGAGTAAATGCTCTAAGTGACCATCATATGCAAAGAACTAGGTGTTGACTCTTTTCAGTGTAGTGCCAGTAGTATGTTGAAGACTAACAAGGACACAATCTGTGCTTTGTCTTTCTTCCAACTAAAATTAGCCACATTTTCTCATCCCTAAGTCTGAGGGCAAGCGGCCATAGGTCGCTAAAAGTGAAAGAGATGCCAAAGGTATTTCATGCATTGCCTAACTGCCAAAACAAGAGGCAGTGTTTTCAGACATGGGGCAATGCAAGTTATGCTAAAGACTCTATGTATATCAAAGTAAAAAGAAGATCCATGAATTTTATTTTTATTTAACTATTTCACTTCTTAAATACACCTATTTTATAATTTAAATATATCTCGAAAAGCATGTCCAGAGAATTCAAAAATACAGATTCTAAATTCAGAATGTATTTAAAATAAAAGTATTTAAGTACTGCCCAACATTACCTGTAGCGACAGATTTTACATATGGTGAAAAACATAACTTAACATTTCCAATCAGACTGAACCAGGGACATTTCACAAAACTGAGCATGATATGAACATATTACCACTAACACCCACAGCCCAATTGTTTAGCTATCAGTACTCTTTAATAATAACATTTATTCTATGTACATGCTGGCCTATTTTTATAAAATTTGACTTTTTTATAGATGTAAAATCATAGTTTGCTCTATTTTGATATTTTATCATATTTTTGCTATTACTTCACACTAGGCCCATAACAATAACATTGCTTATCTGAAGAATGGTACATTAACCCTTTGCACTCCTAATTCTTAAGGCCCAATCTTCCAAACTGTTCTTTATTTATATCCTACTGATGAGTAACTGCGGAGTGCTTTCAATGCATTGAAGTTTTAGGGTCCAAATTAAATTTTAGGCAAGAAATAAAAACCTATTTGGTTCACATCAAAACACTTAATCTGCCAACTATTAATGAGTTATGGTCAGTAAATTATTAAAAATATAGTTAATAGATGAATAAATCATCCAACCACCTAAAATGATACAAATATACACATAGATCCTGCATGATTCACAATGTTGTCAGCTGGATGATGCCTTTTGTACTAAACAAAAACTTTCATGTTTCTTGCACCAGAAACTTTGCCATTAGCTACTGAGACTCGTAAAGGCAACCTGTTCATTCCGTTTACGTCAATAACTTATACCAAAATTACACAATGAACACAATACAGATACCACTTGCGTGCAATTGAGCTTTCCGATCAAGAGAAATTTAATACACAGTACTGTTTTAACTTCTTGTGAAAGTACTAACAAATACACTAATCTGCAATTTGAATTTAGATGACGGGTGAAAATGAACAAAATGCGATGAACCACAATATGTTGGCTAACAATAACTCTTTTTATTATTTTTATCAATAAAATCAACAAAGGTGCACATTTTATTCAGTTCCCTATAATTTTTTGTATTTGTATTCAACTTTGTACCAGCTGAGGGGCTCACCTGCTGCTAGAGCTGGATCCAGAACGTGGGGCTCGCGAATGCGAGCGGGATCGGGTCCTCTCCCTGGAAACACACACAACAAATGAAAATCCAATACTCTTTGACACTAATTTACGCAACGAAAATTAGTGGCTTGTAAAATCTAATGTTTCTTGTGATGTTAGGTAAATTTCCTTCAATGCTACAATACTAATTACATTATTGATGATTTTTCCCAACTTGTTAAAGAGAAAATCAAATTATGTATGTTATTTGCATATAACAAGAATGCAATAGTAATTTAGATTCTGCTGATCAATGTAATTATTTACTTGCATGAAAATTTGGGTAATATTTTCATTAAACAGCCTGAATTTTAGTGAACTTCATTGCCTTATTTAGTTTTAAGGTACTGCAAACGTGCTAACACATTCCATACCTCTTGAAATGTTTTAATTGATTGGAACATTGAGATGGAGAATGAATGAAAATTAATGCTGTTTGTCCCAGGGCATGGCCTCCTAACAAAAATCTCCCATCTGACTCATTTTGTCCTAGGCTTGCCACTTCTAATAAGTCAAAAGAGTAATTTTAGTCCCATTTGGACAACAGAACAGTTCCGGGCAAACTTTCCAACTTGCAGAAGAGTTTTCAAGTACTGTAATTCCCAATACCAAATAAAAATGTATGTTCCCTCATACAAAGCTTCATCAATATAAAAACAGTGGCATTCACCAGATACAAGAAGTCACAAAACACTAAAACACTACATGATAACCTATAATAGCACAACAGATTCTTCACCTCTACATTCTGCACAAGAATACTGAAGGAAGAGGATCAGAAAATTTGAAAAGCTCTTTGAAGTTTCCTCTGAATTTCTGTACAGAATATGTATCTGAACTTATGGTTGGTTTGGGAAAATATTAAAAATTGAAGTTACAAAATCACAGAAGCATGGTACATCTGGAAAAGCACAACATGACTTCACTAAGTGAAGATAAGTGACACAATCATTTTGTGGCCGAGGGGTAGAACAGTTATCACAACTGGATACCTAAAGAGTTAGTCGAACATACCTCATGCTTGATTCTCGACCACTCAAAGAATACGTGGCGACTTGACGACTGAAGTGGCCGTAGGCAGAATCACACAGCAGTGTCAATATCTGTTAAAAAGTGGTATCTACTGAATTTAGCAACAGATTAGAAGGTAATCTGCATCATTTTTTCACAGGAAGCATTTAAATTGTTTCTTTTTTGGTTGAATTTTGTCAATAAAATGAAAAAGAAAACGTGTTAACGAATATAGAAGTTGATACAAAATACGGTATTCAAAAAAATGCAGTATTTTACTTAATCTTTAAGACTGATTATAAATAAGTAACTGCATCCAAACATTTTGAAAAAAAATCTCCTAAATACACATATGGAAATTCATTAAATAAATTTTACATTTATTATCTCACCACCAAACACTATTGTCTACTTTCAATATTTTTACTTCTTTCCACATGTGAAAACAGGTTTGAATCCCAGACAGGAGACATTTGATTTTTTTAAGATCAATACCTAACCTAAGAATCATGATAGCATTTCTCAAATCTGAATTTATCGGCAGCAAATTTTGGTTCTAAATGGGATGAGGTCTCCAAAGGTACAGCAATATATTGTAAAACAATTGTTACATAATACACTTGAGCAGATACATGAAAAAGCATAATTACGCGAGAAACAAATGAACTATATTTTACTTGGCATTCCATGTAACTTTCTTTATGTTCAAGATCCCTAAACAAATTTTTATTTAAAAAATCAAAACTATGTTGAATAATAGATAAAAATGTAAACTGTTTTATGAGAATAATTTTGAATATCTTTCCAGACCCTAGTGCACAAAAATAATAACACTTTCTGTGAGCTCTCCAATGGACGCAAGATCTTAATATAAAAGGGAAAAACAAATTTCATGAAGTACATTACAGCATGTGGATTGTGTGAAGTGTGCCAGCTTGTTATGTCCCATGATTACTGCATCATGTTTTCTACAATAATGAAATTGGAATGTTTCTTACACATACAAATTTCCCCCACTATATATTTGACATGGGATAAAAAAAATTGTTACTAAAAATGCAACTAATATGGAAGGAGTGATAAACGAACATTCACATCTTATTGCACTATCAGCAAATGAAGTGTGTAGAGTGAAAAAAATCACAGTAATTTTCAGCTAGGTGGAGTTATTTTCAAAACTTTGTGCAACAATCTTAAAAAATGTTCTGTTTATTGCACAAAGCTTCCACTGAGAACACACATTTCTTCATTTGTTGGTATTTAGAACTAATTACACAGCTCTAGGGCAAAGTAAGCAAAATGTGCTTTGGATTGCAAAAAGGATTGAATATGTATGTATTAAACAGTACCTATTATCATAATGTCTTTATAGAACTTATTGAAATTTTCAAAAAGAAATTTATTCATAGAACATTGATGCATATCTACAAGAAGAAATGAATTATTGTTTTGCATTACTTTTATAAACACCAATAATTTTGCTGCTGGATAGTGAGAAGGACGTTCAAGAGAATGGTGCAAGTGTCTGTTCATTAAAAAGCCTGATTTTTTTAAACTCGCAAAAATTCAAAATTTGTTCGTTGTCTTCCTAAAACTACAATTTTGAAACTATTGTTTTCTTAATAAAGGATGTTCATCAAAAACAGTTCTTCAAAAGAGGTCATGTTCAATATATCGGAAATGAGTATTTTTGAATAATTTTAGATTAAACATAGGTGCCTTTAAAATCATTTCAAACAATTTTCTCAGAAACAGAAACTTTCAAATTGGTGTCTCTCATTTTTATCCTTACATGTAGCAAAAAAATCTGTAAAGAGATAGTGGTGATGGTCCTATTTTCGGCACAATTTTCATTTTCGAAAATTGCAAAAATTCAAGACTGTAATTTGAATTTTGCACTCTTTTCAGGCCTTGCCAATGACAATCGATATCAATGCACATAAGCACAATTCGTTTGAATTAGACTTTTTCAAGTTGCAATTGAGTTTTTAGTACAGCAAAAATTACAATATTTTAAAAACCATTTTCAATCATGCAAGAAAGTATATACTGTTGGAGCACTTCTAGGTTTTTCATACTCCTGAACTGTATTTGCCATGATGGGAAGAAGTATCAGGGTGGTCACTCTTTCCTAAAACAAATTCCCAGACTTATCCAGGTTTCCAGCCCAGTTTTCATACCTAATGCATTAAGATTGGTAATGAATACAAGTGAAGGCCAGGTTAATACGAACGGGAGTATTGCGGTATAAAATATTAAATAAACTAATGCGGGAAAGTAGGTAGTTGTAGTGTCTGACTATTCATGTGTCCAGCATTAATTAATTCTCCTATGCTAGTAACAGTAACAAAGAGAAATTAAATGTTAAGAGTAAATTGTGGTCTACAAATAATTCTTCAAACAAGTCTGCCAGTACAAAATTTTTACATGAATGGTATGAGACCACTAATAGCCTGTACCAACTAAATCGCTATTTGACTCAAGTTTCTATTCAAATCATCAGAAATCAGATGATGGCCAGATCTCCTGAGATTGCTGTTTAGCTTGATCCATTCAATTAATTTTAGGAATAATGACTTAATGAACAATCTTTTAAGTGATGAAAAGGTATGCATCCATCACTGTCAGCTGTGGGGCACAAAAGTGAACACTGAGAACAAAACAACACTACACTATAATGAAAGCTTATTGTTAGCTTATTGCTTTGACATCCCTGAAGTACCTGCTGCCAATAGCATTGCATGGCTTCAGCCACCACTCTCTAGTGCAGCGAGGACAGATTATCCAAGGTACCGGGAAGGGAATGAACTCACTCCCTCGCCGTATGAAGTGCCATAGCCCGCTAGTATGCATAAAGCAGGCTATGGGAGTACCAGCTGTTAAACTCTTAACAGAGTAAATGTATTTTGCTTTGGAATCTCTCATAGGATGGTGATTGTCTATGGACCATTTTCTTGAACCCTTAATCCATTAGTTCCCACTCAGAAATAATTATCAAATTAGGTTTTGTTGATACTTTTTATGTTCAAACACTCGCTCTCATTCTTACGTTTTTTGGAAAAAAAAGTTATATAAATATTACAAACTCTTACTTGAATATTATTTTGAAAGAAATATAACCCATAAACCATAAAAATATAATATAACATTTAAAATATATGATAAAATTATATTTCATAAAGTTTTGTGAAACAATTTACTTTCATGGGAACATAGCATTTTGAGCAATATACATTGTTTGAGACTTTTAGAGGTTACATCTTATATTTTTATTATCATCACCTTCTTTTAACTATGTTTTATACCATCAAATTTGACTGCATCAAGTAATGCTTCACTTGATACTCTTCCTTTTTTCATATCTGAAACCACTGGAATTTCTAGGTCGATGTGAAGTGCTTCAATTTGAGTTCTCATGAATGTGACAACTACTTGGAATTTAAAATCCACCTCTCGTTCTTTCTTTTTGTACACAATCAGTTAAATTTTAGGCGTTCACAAAATAAGGTAATTAAAAATTCTAAATTATTTTAAGATTTTATTTGAGTGGTAAAAACTGTTCCAGTTTGGCTAATTTGTCTTTATAGTCTAATCTAGCATTATCTGAGACATGAAGAAATTTTTTTTACTTCTTGAAATATGTTTCTAGACATGTTTTTTTCTTACACATAGAACTATTTCATCTTCATCTTAAACTCTAATACATTTGAGATGATATCCTGACAAAATTAGAATACTGAGGAACTGTCACAACTCTGTATACAGCATGTTGAAACGGAGATCATTTTAATCATGCACATACTTCACACAAGAATTTACAATTAAGTAAATCTTTAGTACTAAAAAGTCCACCGATTCCTGTTCTGCTCGTGTAAGCATTTTGAAAGTGCTGTAATTTCCTGCTCTACAACAGATGGTGCATGATGAAAACAAGAGGTTTCCTTCGACGAGATGTCCATTGGGGATGCACTTCACTTTGTTTGGAAGTTTTCGCTTCATCTTTACAGCTTACATTGTTTCAGCAACTACTTCAGTATTTTTTTCTTTGTTAGTAGCACATTGAACCTCAAATGTTTCAACTATATCAAGAAATTTCAATGCAGCATTATTATTTGTTATGCACAAAACATAACAGAATTTTTAGCATATAAACTGCATTCAATATAATAAGTCATCCCGAAAACTAATTAATTAGTTATATCCATTTTCTTCAACAGTGACTGTCTATAACAGGAGAAATTTTATCACCACATCCCCATCCCTATTTTCTTGTTCTTCAGTATTCAATTCTTCTAAAAGAGATTACATTTCCCCAATAGTTGAATTATATTTCTCATCCTTTCATAAAATTGCACACAGAAAATGTAATTTGAATAATCAAATTTGTACAATTATCAGCTTCTAGTTCAAAGAACTATAGACGATAAAAGATGAATTCGAGCAGAGAGTAATGAAAACTTGCTCAAACCGCCAGTCACCTGAAGAGAAATTAGCCTCACGTGAGGTGCTCCAGTGTGTCCCCAAAGATGCGTTTGCACAACTTTGTGTGTGATGTTATAAAATAAGCACCAAAGAAAAATTTCATGTCATATTGTTTTAAATACACCATTATGTCTTAAACGTTTAAAAAAAATTAAAAAAAGATTAATTAGAATATTTTTTGTGAAATAATAAAAATTACATCTAAAAAGTACTGACACACAACATTTTTAAAAAATCTGTAATTCTTCTATAATGATAATTTTTTAAAGCAATTTTTTGTTAAAACTAAAACTATACGTTGATCGAAAATATTAACAATTGGAGAAAACTAGAGAGAGAAAAATGTTGCATTCCCAAACTATAAAACATTTAATGTGAAATTTACACTGGCACATCCCTTTGGCCTGTGTACAATTTTCTGTTTGAAAAGTATTCCTTTTCACCACTCAGCAGTTATCACGGCAGGACAATTTTGCTTTGTACTTTCATTATTGAAAAAATGCCTTGGTGAAAGTAAATGCCATGTTTTTAATTGGATTGTTGGTGAAGTAGATACCTTTTTTTATTTTGATAAATAAATAGAGATATTGTCAGGTATCAATATATTGATGATGCCATGTTTGTCTTTCACTACGACAATTTGAAGAGAACAAATACAGGCATGAAAGCTAGGTACATTTTTAGTGATATAAAGCACTCCTATTTATGACTGTCTATCAATCTTCTACATGTTCTTTGAAATTCTTCAGAAAACGATTTTTTACGATATCCCAGAGTGCTTTCTCTTTGTCATTTAGCACTGCTTCAAATACAAAATTTTTCAGAACTATTGAACATACCCACTCTAATATTTTTGCAGCATCTGGTGAATTTTTGTTGCAAGAAAGTGGTTGCAAAATCTTTTATCTTACAACATGTTTAACCACTAGTCTGACCTGCTCAACTTTAACATGTAGTGGTGGCAGCAAAATTCTGATTAGCTCTTTCAATGGTTTAAGCACATTTTTAATTCCACACAGATGTTAATTATTGTCTCTGAAGCACACTTTCATTAGGATAGCATGGTTACATCTCTTGCCGATAAAATAACTATACTCAATGTATTGTTTTTCTTCCTAATGAGAAATGTTGGTTATATATAATTAAATTGTTGCAGTATGAATGTTCTGCTATCTGAATAGGAGAGTTCTTGGATTGTCATATTGTCTGCATCTTTTCTTTGCTGTTGAAAGAAACACTATGTTTATTAGTGTCCGACTTCACATTAAATACTTCTGAAGGCTGAAGAACAGAGGTTCAGAGTGATCATCAGAATGCTGCCAATTTTATAAACATGTGGACTGAATATTTAGGAAGGAAAAGCAATGAAGTAAAATAATAATAATAATAATATTATTATAAACAACAACACTGAATTGAAATGATGCCTTATTTCACGTGGCGAGAATCGGGCCATCAGGCTCGCTCTTCCATCTGACCATGAAAATTTAACAACGTTCCTTTCACCCACTAGCTAGAAAGGAGGTATCACTTGGGCGACAAAACAGGCAATTTGAATTTATTAAATATTTACTATTACTATTACTATTACTATTATTATTATTATTATTATTATTAAGAAAAACAAGGGGGGGGGGACAGTCTGCCAAATGGCCCAATGGCTGCAATACGAAAACTAAAAGCTATGCTAAAAAATTTAACTCCATGCTTCAATTCTGCGACCTCGAATTAGACATCTTTCATTTTTATATCATTTTGTGCGTTGAACAGTACTAGTAATACAATCCGAGAGAAGTCGCTGACAAGACTTTCAAACCATCCTATAGAGATTCAAGAGCGGAACCAGTGTTCCGTGGTGCGTCGTCGGCACTTACCTGCTGGTCCGGGCGGCCCTGCGCGGCGGAGCGGCTGCGGAGCGGCTGTGTGAGCGGGAGCGGCTTGCGCGAGCGGGAACGGGAGCGGCTGCGAGACGGGCTGCGTCGGGGCGCGCCGCGCGACGTGCGGGAGCGCGCTGCGCGGGACCGGTTGGAGCGCGCCGAGCGGTTGGAGCGCGCCGAGCGGCTGCGTGAGCGGGAACGGCTGCGCGGAGCGGGAGCGCCAGCGGGAGCGGCTGCGTTGAGCGGGAGCGCGAGCGGGAGCGCGGAGCGCAGGCGCAGCGGCGAGAGCGGAGCGCGACCGGCTGCGCGACCGAGACGACGACCTGCGCAGTGCGCCGCGCGGCGGCACGGGACCCCGGGGCTCTAGCGGCTGCACGCCGCGCGCCCCGCCGGGCCGCGCCCCCGCGGCGGGCGGGGCCGGGGGGCGGGGGAGAGGCGAGGGCGGACGACCGGACGAGGGTGGGGCGAGGGCGAGGGGGCTAGGCAAGGGCCAGGGCTTCAAGGGCGCAGCGCGACCACTCGCACACGAGCTTAGTCCAGCCGCTTCGAAGCTGCTCCACGCACAACCATACCGTATCTCCGCCTCCAGGAGAATTTATTGTCGAGATGAAGAACGGGCGACTTAGATCCAATGAGCAATGCCGACAAAAGGAGAGCAGAAAACTACTTTACTGTCCAGATGACCACTCAACCGTCGCGACGCATCGACTAGAAACGACACAATACCAGGAAAATCAAGGTGACAGTCCGTGTCGAGAAAGTGCAATATGAACATTCAATAACAATGGCATGAAAACAAAACTGCTCCGTGGAGATTTTTACTTTAACATCTCAAACCTTTTCACTCAGAAAAGTACTGATGAATTCAAGAACATGCTACTGAAATTCGCATCATGCTCCTTCACTCCTGAAGAAGTATACTTAATTCTCACATGAGCATGAAAATCTATTATCGAATACCCTACAATAAATAAGAGGGAACCAGATTTGACAAAAATTGATCCAAACAATTTTGAATGTTCAATAACAATTTTGAAAGTTCTGAAGGGAAGAAAACAAAGGATTTTATCAAATATCGTTCCTTTCAAAGAAACTCAAAAGGGATTCCCAAAATACATAAGTGACGAACGTCACCGGCAAAAGATAATGATACTACAAACGTTAACGACTTAGAAATGCGTCAATTCTCATCTTTTAGTGATTTTCCTTTTCTAGTAGTTGACAAAGTGGAGGTACATTTTCATAAATATTCGATCTTTTAATGTAGAATTTCAATTAACTCGGGAGGGTTACTGAGAATCTAAGCACTTCCTTTTTTTGACATACGATACGCAGAAGTTGCGTCCTCATCATGGGTCACCGTGAAAATCCTCAGCACAACTAATGCCCAATGCCTGTAACAAGACTATTCCATAAATTAAGTATTTTGGGATTGCCAATCTTTAAGGAATATATTACAAATATCTTACAGAAATTTTGAGTTGGTGTTATATCTTTAAATGTGTCTATTTGAAAAGTACGCAGAAAACAACAAAACGATTAATTAATACAATTTGTGCCCACTTTTTTATATTATGAGGAATTATCAACATAGCTTTTATTCATGTTCAATTTAGTATTCATTGAATGTTTTTACTAAGTGTTCATTATTTATAGGCCATATGAAAACCTAAATTACAATTACATTACTCCTCTTCTTTTGAACAGTAGTATTATTATTTTTTTTCCTCCCCTCTGAAAGGTGATTACATTTTCAATAAATAAATAAATAAATAAATGATAAGTGCACATATACTATATTAACAGACAAAACTATATGATTAATAAATAAAAAGTGCATATATTAATGGTTAAAACTACTATTTTGAACAGAAACTAATCATCAAATCTCTTACATCAGAGTATAAACTTCAAACTTGACAGAGGTCTCTCTCTCTCTCTCCACAAAAAGTTTACAAGCGAGTTTTTTTTAAAGGGTGCTCCTCTTACGCCTCAACTGGTATGTACCGTTCAATCAAAAAGAGTAGACAAATTCCAAATACAAATGACATTGTTCTTGTTGTTAACCTCCATCTTGCAAAATATACTGATCCTCATCACAGAGATATATATACAGGCACGGATAAACAACTCAGGAAATACAAATCGTGCATTTTCCAAATTGTTGTAAATCAAGAAAAGCACAAGTCACAGTGCACAAGCTGTTATGGCAGCATTTTATTAGTTTGTTATTGAGCAATATTCAGAAGAATCAAGTACCGAACCTACAAGCTAGCACCGAACCACAGGAAGCCGAGAACGTAGTTTCTTGTTGAACACCTCATGCCAGAAACAACTGTAAAATGGAAGCAGTTTAGTCACCTATTAATGTATACTGAGTCCGGTGTGAACATAGGTTGTTATACTTTCATAATTAAGGTTGCATCTTGTCAGTTACTTCACTGTGGGCCAGCAATAGTGATCTTCAAATTTCTTTTGGAGAAATTACAATTTTCATAGGATGGTAATGACGTAGCAGATATAAGCCGTACACGGTATCTTGAGCTTCAAGATAAATTTCCTTAAATAATACTCAAATCAATACATTTTCTGTTGATTGACATAGATGTTTTTGGAAGTAGCAAAAGCTTTCCATCTGCCTTCAATCTGGGCTATGGATGACTGACACATGCATGCTACGACAACAATTTGGCACATTAAAAAATGGCTATGCGCCAAAACTACTGTTTGACTTCATCAATAAAACATCACCCAGAACCTCAGTGAAGGACAGTTCTCACTAGCGCTTCGTAACCTCCTTGAGATATTCCCTCACATACATTTTGGATCTTTTTGGAGGAAAGCATGACAAACGAAGCTCAAAACGTCGTGAGCGACCCGCCGACCACGATCAACTACCCATCGCTACGCTCTAGCACAGTGTTTCCCAAACTGTCATATGACAATACATTCCCACATTTTTTGAAAAATTGACTAGTAGACTACCTTTAGACACACAAAACAAAGGAATATTGTGTTGAAAACTTATTTTTATGTTGTAGAAAAATCTATTTGTCATGAACATGCCCCAAACAATCTTCAAAGCCTCAACGCATTCAAATTTATTTAAATGTTCATTGATTTCCTCACAAGCCACTTTCGGATTCTTTTATTTACAAGTGTGTCATTTGCATGGAATTTCAAACAGTGGGGTTTTCCAAAAGTACCTACCACGCATTAGTAATCTGTCACAATTGTCCCACATTTCAAAATTTACGGCGGCGTATGAAAACCATCCTGGAGCCGCGCGGTGTGAGGGGCGATAGTTTGGGAAGCGCTGCTCTAGCATGCACGCGTGTTCACAGGCGGACTCGGCTTACAAGGCTGAAGATGTACTTACGTGAGGCGCTGCGGCGCTGCGGGCGGCAGCGGTGGCCGCGTCAACGGACGCTTATGCTAGTAGAGCAAGGGCTTTGGCCGCACGCACGCGGGCGGCGCGGGGCGGCACGGGGCGGGCGGGAGAGCGCGAGCGCGAGAAGAGAAGAGCTCGAAGGCTACTCAGGCGCACGGAGCGTCACGAAGCTGGACGTGTTGGCTGTGGTGGCTACGCTGGACTACGAAGAACTACGTCGACTCTGCAGAGCGACTCAAATGGTGAAGCGCTAGATCTGAGCGAAACAGGCTCTCAGCCAAAGTGTGTGTGCAATACGCCTCTCGGCAGGGGGGTTAGAGAGGATAGTGATTTGAGGGAGGAGATAAGAAAGGGCGCTACGTCCCAGCCGGCCGCTACTCTCCCGAAGGCCAAATGGCGAGCAGCGCTGCCGCAACCGAAAACTGCTCTCCCGAGAGATCACGCAGACGCTGAGCATCGCTCACAACTCGCTCCCAAGATAAGCCTTACTTACTGCCTCCTAGCATTCATTGCCACGCATTATCGTACTGCAACTATACTTTCTTCCGGAACTCTGAAGAATCAATTCTTTAAAGATCGCTAGAAGAAAAACTAGCTCTTTTAACCATTCAACATCATTCGCCGCCTATCGTTAATTCGGGCAGTAAATACAAAATAAAGTGTACGGCCCGAGAACGCTTCTGGGCCTTCAGGATCCATTTCAAATACACAAAACACACAAAAACGAGAAGCTCCATAAGTATCTTAAGTAAAGAGAAAAACAACTAAAATGAATGTACATAAATACTTACAGAAAATTATACCTGGGGTCAACGAAATAAAAGTGACATTTGGCCAAACATCTACTTACGGCTTGTCCACAAACACGAACCCGAATTCGCCACAGAGCCTAAAACCTGCAGATTAATCTTTCGACGCTTCGCAGTAATTAAAAATATTAAAAAATGTCTCCAGCGCTCGCGAGCGGGGCGCATGCGCGGGAGCACCTCTCACCCTCCGCCCGGCCACCGCCGCCCGTCCGGCTCCGCCCACGCCGCGCGGGCGCGGCGCGCTGTGACGCGGGGGCGCGGGGACAGGCAGGGGCGGGCCGGCCGGCGGCACGGGGGCGGGAGCCGGGCGCGAGAGCGGAGGCGCAGCCGGAGGCGTGGAGACGTACCTGCGACGGCCGCTGCGCGCTCGGTCGCGCCTGCAGTCGCGGGCGTAGTGGCCGCGGTCGCCGCACTCGTAGCAGCGGTCCTCCGGGTGGATGCCGCGCCGAGGCGCCTGCCCGCCGTTGGACATCTCCACGCGCACGCGACGTCCACAGATGTTCCTGCGACACACGTATGGGCTCCGCTTGCACTCAATCCTTTCAAATAACGTCGTGGTAAAATATTTCGCTTTTTTCGGGTTTTGTAGCAAAGCGTTTTGATTTTTAAACTCGTTTTCCAATACTTTTATTAAATTTCGAAACGTATGCTTTAAAACTAAATAAATTCCGTTCCCTCCACCGCTGGGATTAAATTTCCATAATTACTTAAAATGAAAGGCTATAGAAGAATAAGGCGGTGAAAAGTGCCATCAAACCATATAGATAATAGCAATACTCATATCAAAGAGAATAAAAACTTTCGTAATTCGAAAAAATCAGCCTCCTAGGACAGGGCTTGCCAACTCAATGCACTGTGACGTCACAAAAATCTGCTCTCCTGCTCGGACCCGAGCCGCGGACCAAAGGCAGTGACGGACACTGCGCCGGGCGTGCAGTGTTCCAATGATCGTACGGCAGTGGCGCGAAAACTTTCGCTCGATAATTCCCTTTTTAAAAGGTAATTATTATATAAATGTTTATAATTCAATGCAAATATGAAAAATTAAAAAACCGCCCCTCCCACTTAGCACCTGACGGGTCTCCCGGTATAGGTACCTTATTACATGTTAGTGTAAGCGTTTGTGTAAGGGGTGAGCATAGGACAAGGAAGAGGAAGGTGAGATCGCACGCAGTCCGTGGCCTGTTTGCGAGGGTACTGCTCCGGAATTCGCGTTGAGTTGATTGGAGAAACCACGCAAAACTACCGATCGGTGCAGCCAGCGGCTAGAATTCTCATCCAGGCAGCGACTGAATTCGACCTAGCTAATATGCTAATGTCGAAAATCCTGCCACCGTCGGCACCTGGACCTACGGCCTCCCGGTCAGAGGGACTGCAGTGACAGGGACGCGTCATCGTACATAAAGAAGCACGTATAAAGTATTGGAGTCTGAACTTTTTATTTTGTGGGCCTGAGTAGTTAGTTAAATATATACCCGGGAGGGGTCACGTGGGAGAATTTGGGTTCCAGGCTTCATTATTTATACAGTTTTGTTTGGGATTCTTCTAAATCCTCGTGATTTTCAATTCCTTTTCCATAATATTATATCTGCAAATTCCTGTTCTCATTTCATGAGTGCAGGTAATTTGCGAATTCTCAGAAATTATTTTAATCTCGCGGTTTTTCCTCAGTTACAAAGCTACGTAATGCTTCGGTGGGTTGAACTCTTTCGACATAATGCAGTTCTTTCGAATACACAAAACACCCAGTCATTGTTACGGTACCAACACAAGGAAACCTTTCTTCCCAAACCGAAAGAAAATTAACTGGTGTAGATGGTCTCCCACTCATGTTCCCTGAAACACCAGCAAAGGCCCAAGTTTTGCGTTATCGGCGACCGCTGCCTGCCCCTCCTTTCCCCCTTTGTTCGCACCTATCCCCGTGCAGGCGCTCGGGAAGGGGGAACGGAGCTCCGACGTCATTTCTCCGCCAGTTGGCAAACGCTGTCCTAGAGCAGTTGGGGCGGAGACACGAGAAACGCGTTTTTCATTTTTTTTCCCCTCATCTTCTATTGCATATATCAGGCTGAAAAAATTGCAGACACAGAAAATGGTTGAATTTTAAAGTATTTTAGTTAATTTCGATGGCAAATTCAAATAGAAAAAAAATTAAATTGATTTTCGATGTGAAAACGGAGTCAATGACCTTCAGACACCAGTTCAAGCTATAATACTTGCGGGAATTTTAAAATCAATGCCCGTGATGCCACGTGCGCAAACTGGTGCTGCGCAGAACGAACAAAAATCGGTGCACCGGAAGAGCCTCCACAATGGGAACAACGGGAGTGAAACGATATTAATGTGATGTGCGAACGGAAGTCGCACCCTCGAACACTGCTCCCACATAGCTACGATCATTTATTATATGGCACAAACTCGTTATAAGTAGCAAAAATTGTTAAACCGTCAGAAATTTTGATAAGACTTAATAAATGAACATGTGATCCAATTACTGAAATGATAATTAATTATCTATGATTGTTTACGTGTCAAAGATTACATTTGGGTAATTTGATTTAATTTGAAACAATACTTAAATCTAAAAATAAAAGGGGTTTGATCATTTTATTTGTATAACACAAATACTTCCCACATACAAACCAACATTTGTCAGCAAAAAATGTTTAATCATGCTGATAAGCTACACTTTGTAGTAATTTACTTAATTGTTTAAACATTGGTGAAAAATATTCCAACATTTTGGACATTCCAACAAATTTGTTAACTGAAAATTGATGAATTATTTTACTATCGTCCACTTAGTTTAAAAATCTGAAAAATATATGTTATAGAATCTTATGAGACACGTTCTTGACGTGGGACTGAGACAGTACTCAGTTTTCATGTCGAAAATATTTTTTTTTCTATTTGAATTTGGCGTCAATATTGGACGACAAAAATAGCTTGAAATTCAACTATTTCCCCCGTCTCTGCCCTCCCCTCCCCTCGTCGTTTTTCCCCAGCCTGACACGTGCAACCGAAAGTGAGAAAAAAGAAAAACACTTTTCTCGTATGTCTGCAATATATTGTCCTAGGAGACTGATTTTTGCGAATCGATTGATTTTTTATTATTTTTCATATGTGTGTCGCGACTATCAATTTGGTTTGGGAGCGCCTTTCACAGTCTCATTCGGCTAAACATTTTAATTTATTACATTAAACTAAATATCATCAAAGTACTTTAAGATTTGTGAACGTGCTTTGGAAGAGTTTTAGATATTTCGTCCCTTGTTCAAGGTATTTTAGTGGCACAAAAAAATTTCCCGAAAACAATGTTCACAAGATGTTTTTCCTCCTCCCCTAATGTTTACAAGATAATTTTCTCGAAACGTCAAAACAGCGTAACGGGTCACACGAAATCTTGAAGCGTTGTTCAAAAATTGAAGCGAGAACCATAACAGTTTCTTTCAGTTCATAAGGATATCTGCTAGACGTTGCTTGCGGGCGGCGCCTACCTTCCGTCTAGGCAGCGGACCGCGCGTCTGGCGTCGCGGGGGTCTTCGAACTCCACGAAGGCGAAGCCAGGCGGGTTCCGCGCCACCCACACGCTGCGCAGCGTTCCGTAGTAGGAGAACGCATCCTCCAGCTCTAACTTGGAAGCAGAGGGCCCTGAAACAATCAAAGCAGTTTTAGCCGACTGGGCGAAGCAAAAAAGGACGCTTGTTTTTCTTGATTGTGTACATCGTATGTGGGTTTTCTACTTACAACCTGTCGTCTGATTCGACTAATATTCGTATGTATATTCTTACATTTGACTCGACAACGTGAATATCATAGACCATATTAAGTTACTAAAACAAACAGTATGGTGGACAAAAGGCTGCATTTTGTTGATTCATAGCCCAATATTAAATTAATTCTAGAGAGGTGGCACACAGTCTGGTAACTTTTTAACTTGCTTGTTGTTGTTCTTGTTAGTTTACCGTCAACAAACTCTACTGAATTTGCACACCCGTAGAAAAGAGTGCAGCCAGAATTCCGATACCACGGATGTGCGCACAAGGGGTCGTGGGTCCCCTTGAATATTTCGCAAGGAGTCCGTAGTCATACGTAAGAGAACATTTTACTTCTGTATATATGATCAACTAATTTTTCTCCTTTTTTTGGCTGATACTTTTACGGAATTCACACATTTGGGCAAAGAACTACAAAGCAACTGGCAGCCTTGTAAATGGTTTAATATAAAGTCAATCAAGAAATTCATGGTACTTTCCATGAATCCTCAACATTTCAAAATTTGCTTAAAAATGTCAAGTGGTGCTTTCATCAAAATACTTAAATTTGCAAAAATTGTAAAAAAATCCCCTTTTTTCGGCGTTTTCTTACAACTGCAAATTGAAGACTGACATTTCCCTCTTGATGACATGAGTAGTTGACGTAGATCTTGGAATTTGATAATGTACACGTTTCCGTGTAATTGGATAGTTTGCGCGTAATTTTACATTAATACACGCACTTTTCCCCTCAGATGTAGATCAGGACGGTAAAAAGTGATGTTAATCCACTTCTCCGCGTTCTGTATTTTTAAATTAGCAAAAAATCAACATTGCAAAATTACAATATTGATAGAGATTTAGTCTTAAAAAAAGTAATGTACAATTTTTGGAGAAAAAAATACTTCTCGCTTAGCTAAGTTTCTGCTGACGCAATTTTTTTCTCAATTTTTCTCCTCAGTATTATTTATTCCTCAGTGTAGCAACGACCATTTGATTTTTACCTTCCCATCACTAAGAATGTTCTTAAGATGAGAAAATTATGTAATGCTGAATTGAATTGAAGCCTTATTTTACCGTATTTTATGTTGCAGTGGCACATTTTCGGCAAATAAACTTATTGCCGGACCCTTATAACGAAAAAGTGGATAAATTCAGTCGCAAAATTTAGAAGAAACATGAGGTGAAGCCAGGATCCAAGTTTGTTTTTTAAATCCATGATACCGAAAAATCGATTGACGGCAAAACGTCTGTCTGTGGCCTGCATTATCGGTTTAACCGTTCAGACGTTTTTCTCCAAATTGAAATTTCTTTTCTTTTATCGATCTGCCTGATGATCCTTGAATTTGAAACCAATATTTTATTTTGTGCATTACTTTACATGAAGTCCGAGGACATACTGGCTCCAACTTTTTTGATTTCTTGTTAGTGTAAAGAATGTTTAATAGATTGGTGCAGGTCTCGTTAACGCTGAATATCCCCTTTTCCACCGAAAACTGCAAAAATTCACATTCTTTCGGAGTCTTCCAATAACAATGATGAAGATAATGTTTTCCATAGACAAATGTTTATCACAAAGATCTTAAAATAACCATGTCGAATTCTTCGAAAAAGAGTACTTGTGGTGTAATTTGGCGTCAAACAGTCGCCAGCTTCGAGAAAGTAATTTGAGACGAGTTGGAGGTAGTAGGGTGCTAATTTTTGCTATTAGAAAATCCATATTTTTACAGCATTGACAGTATAATTGTCTGATTTGTGTTGATATTGGCTTGAAAATATTTAGTTTTCGTACTTAACATTGGGTGTATGGGTTTTACAAAAACTGACATGCGTTAATTCGGACAAAAAATAGCGCAATAAATAGTATTACGTAGCCCTTGCTAAGGGCGTGAAAGTACGTGCAATTTTAGCCACCTTAGTTTAGTAGAACTAACAAAATAGTAACCCACTCTCATTCTATTCGTATCATAACTAGCGAAAGGAGAGCTCAACAAATTGTGAGCATAGTGAAGCGTCGTTTATGCCCTGAAGTAAATCAAAGGAGCCATCTTCGCATTTGTCAATGGATCAGGGAAACTGGACGAAAAACATGATCGAGACGGGAGTCATTGATATAGAATCTCAAGTGCATTACTTATTAAAGGCATATTTAGTATTTTTAAAATTATATCATAAAAAACTTAGTAAAAAAATGTGGACCCATTTTATTGAAGTTTTTGAAAATGTCCCAGGGGCTTCCTGTAAAATACCCCCGAAAATTAAAATATCGGTTTCACATTCAAGAACACGCGTCATTAGCCACATCGATTGGGGCATATCAATCTTGGTGAAAATCCTACTTATGATATAGCCACTTGTTCTCAGTGTTGTTCATAGACGGACGGACAGACAAACGTTTTGCCGTCATTCGATTTTTCGGTTTCAAGAACACACAAAACAAGGAATCTGACAATACGTGTAATGTGCTGTCAGAACGTAATTTACTATCTGTAGGAACAATATGTAAATACCTTTTGGTTACGCCCCGGTAATAAGAGATATTCTGTCAAAAAATAGAAATTTCTCCCTGTAGCATAACAATACTTGCGATGTGGGTGATCTGGGCTGTCCGGGTGACGCCGCGTCGAAGGCTGAGTTGCCGACGTTTCGACCATCCTGTCGTGGTCTTCCTCAGGGCTGGTATGAAGACCACGACAGGATGGTCGAAACATCGGCAACTCAGCCTTCGACGCGGCGTCACCCGGACAGCCCAGATCACCCACATGACTCTGGTCGCGGAAGCCTACGACTTCATCAATACTTGCGATGTGTTAGCAGCAGCGAAAAGGTAAGAAGTATTTAAATATTGTATTCTACACTTTCTACAGAAACTGTAAAATACAATATTCGGAAGTCAGTGTAATATGAAAAAGGTCATTGCAAAGTGGGAGGCTGAATGTTACGTACATTTTGGAAGTCATTTCATTTTTGAAACTTGTTACAAATGGATAGACATTCTGAGTCCGCTTCTGATGCACGCAGAAATATCCTCTAGAAAGTGAGGAATATTCATCCCAAAAACTTAACAAGTGGTGCTACAGATGGCACAGACCTTCCCGTATTTGTTTTCCATTTCCTTTGGTCCCGGCTATCTTTCTCGGACTTGCTACATACTCTTGCCAGCTGCCATCTATCGCAGCTCAAAGTACTTTTTTTTAAGGTATGAAGATAAAAATTTGTAGCCCCTTTGGGGAAAATAGTTTTTGATACTTTCTGAAAATGCGGAATTTTGTGCTACTTTTTACAGATAACGGTTGAATTTTCGACAAACTTATTTGACATTATTTAAAGCACATGTACCTACAAATATATTAATGTAAACAAATCGCCACTAGCGTAAAAGTTATCGACGTAAATAGTTTAAAAATTTCATTTTTGTGATTTATCGAAAAACAAAATAGAACAATATGGCGTCTGTCATATAGAGTACATTTAGCACAAACTCTAACAATAACTTAAAAAAAAATTGGAGCAGTTTTGAGAAAATCTTGTTTTTGTATATTTTTTTAAAAAATTGCGGAAATTGCATGTAAATTGTGCGAAAAATACTTAAATTTTTAAAAAAATGTACATGACCTTATTGAAAGAAATTTTGGGCAAAATTTAATTTGAAGGAAAAAACACTATCTTTAATTTTGCAGTTGTAGAAAGACCCAGAAAAAATCCCTACTTTTGAAATTTTCGAAAATTCAAAGTTCACCGTGAAAATCGGACCTATGCCACCTTTATAATGGTATTTTACTCTCTTCTTACAAGATATGTAAAGAAAAAATTTGGAGCCGTTTTTGAAACAATTTTGAAAATGTCCCCAGGGATTCATGTAACCCCCCCAAAAAACAATGATTTTCAAAATCGCACATCTTCGACTTAAGCCAAATGGTAAGGGTTTCTTCAACTTAAAAAATACACATCGTGTAGGCGCTAGTGTTGTTCACACATGCACTCAGAAGACACATACACATACTAATATACATATAGGCGTTAAAAAAAACATTTTCGGTATCAGGGGCCCAAAAAACGTGTATTCCGTTGAAATTTAGAAATAGAGTTTCCGCAGCATTACCTAATTTTCCCTATACCACGTATATTAATACTCCGTATATGGCACGTAACGGGAAAGTAAGAAGTGGGGCCTAAATGCGAGGGGTTGAAATATTTACAAAAATACGTTACTTTAAACTACAGAAATATTCACACAATGTCGACATGGCAACGAACTGTTGAATGCAATTCCGATGTATAGATTCAGCGTTGCTAAGCACATTATTGACCAAGTATGCACCAGAAAGATCGATTTTCCTCATAAAGCGAGTCTCAGAAGATTACAGGAAAGGAACACGGCGTGTTGTTTACTGCAATGTAATGAGAGTTTTGTAACATATGGCTGACATTAATATGCTACTGCTAGTATATAAGTCATTAATATTGTTACGTAACCCTTACGCATGATTAGAGAAAGAATTTGACTTAGCTCCACCAATATATTTCGCACTTTTTACTAAATCGCAAAATACGAACGATTTTGAAACGCCGCCGTTCATATTACGAATAGATTTAGATTTATTCAGTCAAAAAACAGTAAAAACTGTATGTGACGTAGGGGGGAAACATTATCTGCGAACGTTTTCTTGAGTTTCAGAATCCCTTCCCGTCATTTTAACTATAAATAGTTAAAGATGAGTAAAAGTCTAACATAAATAAAAATAAATATTAAAAAGCAAGATTAGCAATATTTGAAAAATTGTCATTTTTGTTTCTGAGTTATAGAAAACGTATTTCCATCGGTACACGAATTGCACGAATTTTCTGCATTGCTAACAAAATAGCAACTCGCCCTTACTTCTACTCTTACCATTACAAGCAAAAAGAGAGTTCAACAATACACGCGCATAGTGGAGCTACATTTACGTCCAGAATCAAAACCAGGAGCCATCTCAGCATTTGCTCAATGGATCAGGGAAACTACAAAAACCTGATCGAGATGAGGGTCATTGACCTGGAAGCTGAAGTACATTATTTGTTACAATCATTAAGTCTTTTAAAAAATTATACAATACAAATGTAAACTAATTTATTATATATCACTGTTTTGTTAAAATGAACATAATTTTTCCTTTTGATAATCAGAATAGTCTCTAATTATATAGAAACAGTTATGCAGCAGAAAATATTTAACTTTTGACTTAAATTTGTGAACAGACTTCAATTGTTTATTACCATCTGGCAGTGCGTTGTAAAGTAACATAAATGTATTGTGTGTGGATTTCTAACGAAGTTATCCAACCTAGGACGATACCACGAATTCCATAAGAAGGCAATTTTGATAGCAAGATGTTATGGACAATAACGTCAAAAACTTTCGAAAGATCTAAAAATATTCCAATGGGTGCTTCATTTTGTTCCATTGATGAAGCAACATCGTTAAGAAAAGAAAAAAAAAGGCAGTTTCCGTAGATTTTCATTTTCAAAACCCGTGTTGTAAGACTGGAAACGCTTCGTCTTTCCTGAGAAAAGTTTCCATTCGCGTATTGAAAAGCGAGTATTGTATTTTAGAGAAACCTAACAAAAGAGAAATTGGTCGGTACTTTTTCATTTCAGTTTTGCTCCCTTCTTTAAAAAAGTGGCTTCCATTTTTGCCGTTTCGAAAATATCTGGAAATAAAGAAGCATTGAAAATGTGAGTTAACGGGCGTATAAAAGCAGGTACACAAGTTTTCAATAAACAATCCGGAAATTCATCTAAACCGGATGAATATTTATGAAATACAGGACCTTTCTAGAAACGAGCAGCACTGAGCAGAATGCACAGCATACGATAAATCATCAGTGGAGAGGCAAGATATTGACAGATAACTGGATTATACTGATAACTGGATACTGATAACAGTGTTTCATAATGGAATTCGAACGTCTTCCGTTACATGTTAGGTTTTGTAATGCCAAGAGCAATCAGAAAATATGATTGTAATGCATTAGACTTAAAAAAAGAAGCAATTTGCTATATTTTTACTTTCTCACACCAATGTCAAAAGAGAAAGTATTGTAATCGGGCACAGGAAAATGGAGAATTTTTTTACACAAAAACTCATTGTCGGGGCCTGGTGACGAAAAAGTGGATAAATCCAGTTGCTAAATACAGAGGAAAAAAGAACCTCCAACACGTAGTGTAGCCAGAATCCATGTTTTGTGCGTCCCTGATACAGAAAAATCAATTGTCGGCAACGTGTCTCTTCGTCTCTGCACAACACACAAACAATTCGGCGGATTTTCTCCAAAACTGAAGTTTCAAAATCCTTTTGGCTGATGTCGTGGAGCCTGGAATTTGTAACAGACTTTTCAATGATTTTGGGAGGTACTTTACATGAAGCCGAGACCTCCAGGACCAAGAAATTACGTCAGATACTGCGTTTTCCCGAATTTCCAACATTTTTTATGTAACGTAGTAATTGGGTGGGGTATTGAAGTAAATAAATTGGGAGAGTTTGGATTAAATTATCATTTTTTCTAATACTTAACATGAAAGAAAAATTGAAAAAAAAATTGAGTACCATAAATTTGTACGAACATTTGAACTTAAATTTTATATTACCACCGTATGCTGCCTTGGGAAACAATGGAGAAATGTATGTTTCAGAAGTTCGTTGACAAGATAAGACAACGAACTGTGAAATTCTTTGAATGTTTCTCTTTGTTGAACATTAACATGGAACCCTTATGAGGTTTTATTTCATTTATTTACATTTTCATTTAAGAAAAACAAAAATATTTTTATTTCACAAAGTAATGAGAATTTGGGGAATATTTTTAAAGGCGAAAACGTATAGAGTATTTAACATTACATGTTCAGACAAGGAATAACGTATAATTCGTGTAGAAAGGAACAGATTTGGAGAATCTTAATATTCTATAGCATTTAATAATTACTATTATATATTATTCGAGCTATTTGTATTTGCTTGCAAAAGCTACCAGTGTTACTGCTTTGTAAAATGTATATCCAACGAACTCCCATTGTTTCTTTAAAGCAGCGCTGGAAAAAACGCACTGTAGCGAAAGCAGCCGCCTACACCGCCGCCGGTGAATCGTATTAATTAATCTTTTCATTATTTTACTTTCTCACATCGTGCTCACGCAGAATATTTAAAAGCTAAAATATGCATCGGTTATGTTCGTCAATACATTGAATTCAATGCTAGAAATATTCTGTCAGAAAAAGTCATCTCGGGGCTCAGGAGCAAAGTCGCTCGTCTTTCACCAAGGAAATCAGGATTCGATTTCCGGACAATCTCATGTGAAATTTGTTCCAACAAAACAAGTTTATCTGCTTCACAAGGGCTTGTCCGACCCCTGTGAAGTGTCCTAAACCATACCCTTATCCTAATTCCTTTCATATTCTGGCCGCTGGGTAGTGAAGCAGGAGCGCGTGGTGGAAGGTGCATACGCGGAGATGCTAACTGGCGGTACCTCTTAACAGAAGACTGCGACAAGACAGAAGGAATACTGTTAATGGAGGATTACTCCAAGCGGAAAGCGGCCAGAATTGTGAAGGAATTAGGGTAGTGGTAGGATATAGGACACTTTACAGGAGTTGGACTAGCCCTTATGAAGCAGTCAAACGCATTTTGTTGGAACAAATTTCACATTATATTGACCGGAAATCGAACCTGGACCTCCTTGGTGAGAGGCGGACGATTTCGCTCTGCGCCCGTTCAATTTATTTTCGAAACCCTCACTTAACCAATAATCACACAACACTATTACAGCTAGAGATTTCTTTCTTAATCCAATTTATTCCTCACCATTAGATCTTTAAGACGTTTTCTTTAAGTACTTTATGTTCTAGGGTGGCTAAGTTCAATTTTTTTTCCTTCGAACACAATATACATCATCAATACTAGAGCTAGAATATTTTTGTTGATGTAAACCAGTCCCTAATAAGGTTTTCAATATGAGTACATTTCACATAAATTTCAGCAATTTCGTTTAGGATTTTCAGGGGAAGACAGAAGTGTTAGCAAGATCAAAGTCGTAATATTAGTTTATTACAATTCAAACCATATCTAATACTATAAGAAAATGTTTTAGCACTACTAGTTCATCTTTACGTCAAAACCATTTAAATAATGGATGAAAATAAACGGAAATGATTCCGAAAACATTGAATAATCTTATACATAAAAAGGCAGACGTTTTCACGTTTAGCCTAGCAAGATAACTTACCCAAGTCTCCAACATACACTTTGTAGTCAGAAGCACCTGAATACCGTGACATCTTCTCAAAGAATAATCCACCTGCAAGTTCAGAAATACAATTAATGATACGAATATATTATTAACTAACGGTTGTTTAAACTTGGGTTTCTGAGGACAGGCAATTTTCAAAGGCATTGACCCACCCGTTCTTGCGATTGCCAATGACCACAAAAAATGTACTCTACAAAAATATTTTAAATTCCAACTTCATGTAGTATTCAATTAAAATAAAAGTTCATATTACCTTGTTCGATCATGAACCACTAATATAAATGAATGGATTCGTGATAGGCTCAAAGTTATGGATAGTTTGATTTTTTTTAAAAGCAAAGTTTTCTCAATTTCTCGTATTTGTCACATTGAACGGTCGGGCTCATTTTGCCCGGAAAAGTGCTACAACTCGACATGGCAAGGTCTCAAGTCTTTGGACGTCCCCTTCAGAAATATTAAGTCATGCTGCTTCTACAGCCGTTCATAAGTGCGAAGGTGTAGAAAAGTAGCTGCCGGTGCAGGATTTTAGCATGAACTGACCTCTCGATTAGATCACAAAGTTGGATACGGTTTATGTCAGGTGAACTGGGTTGCCAAATCATTCGCTCGAATTTTCCAGAATGTCCTTCAAACCAATACCGAACAATTATGGTCTGGTCACATGGCGCAGTATCATCCATAACAATTTCATCGTTTGGGAACTTTGTCCATGAATGGCAGCATATGGTCCCCAAGAAGCTTAACATAACCATTTTCACTCTTATGATCGGTTCTGTTGGGCCAGAGGACCCAGTCCCCTCCATATAAAAGCAGCCCACAGCATTATGAAGATATCACCAGCTTGTGGTGTCTTGTTGACAACTTGGATCCATGGTTTCGTGGATCCAACAGCACCCTAACCCAACCATCAGCTCTTACCAACCGAAATGGGGGCTCCTCAAACCAAGTCACGGTTTTCCAGCCGTCTAGGGTACAATCGACATGGCCACGTGCCCAAAAGGGGCGCTGCGGACGATGTCGGGCTGTTAGGAAATGCACTCTAGTCTGTCTTTTGCTGCCATAATCTATCAAAGCCAAACTGTCCCAATGGATACGTTCGTCGTACGTTCCACAATTTCTGAGGTTGTTTCACGCAGTGTTGCTTGTCTATTAGAACTGGCAACTCTACGTATAATTCGCTGCCCTCGAAAATTAAGTGAAGGCTGTCGGCCACTGTGTTGTCCGTGGTGCGAGGTTATGCCTTATATGTATTAACGGCATTCTTGACACTGCGGATCTCGAAATATTGAATACCGTAACGATTTCAGAAAGGGGAAGTCCCATGCGTCTAACAGCAACTACCATTTCTTGCTCAAAGTCGTCGTGCAGCCATAATCACATTGGAAACCTATTCACATGAATCACTTTAGTAAAAATGTAAGCTCTGGCAGTGCACTTTTGTACTATTTTATAAGCGTACTATTGCCATCAGTTTATTTGCATATCCCACGACTTTTGACACCTCGGTGTATAATGTACTGAAAATTGCATATCAATGGCTTATCAAATGTGAAATGGACGATAATACAACTTGTCTTCAGCGAAACACACGTATACACTTTCGCAGCTGGATTATGTTTCTGGCCTGCTTTCCTTCCCTATTTATATAACGGACGTTAGGTTGCGTGAAAAACTTTCCTTTTATTGAACTTGCCATGTGTACAGTTTACATTTAGTCAGAAATAGTAAAGCCTCTGTCGTATGGGGGAGAAGATCATCTGCGCACGTTTCCTTGAGTTTCAGAATCCCTTTCCATCATTTTAACTATAAATACTTGCAAGACGAGTAAATGTTAAATAAAAATAAAATTTAAGAGAGCGCGAGATTAGCAACATTTGAAAAAGTAGACATTTTCGTTCCCGAGTTATAGAAAAATTATTTGAAACGGTAAACGACCTACAGGTTTAATTTTTCTACATTGCTAACAAAATAGTAACTCGCCCTTATCTCTAATCCTACCACTACAAGCAAGAGTTCAGCGTAACGTGCGCATAGGGAAGCTACAATTACGTCCAGAAGCAAAACAAGGGGCATCTCGAAAAATTATAACCACATGGATGTATAAAAATACTGAAGCTTCAAAGTTTCTACTAGAATACACGATTAGGTCGAAAAAGAAGAAGCAGCCGCCCAAGCAAGGAGGGGGAAATAATTTTTTAAATTCTCATCTTAAAATCTTACTTAATCTTCAATGGCAAACACTTTCTACAAATCTGGAGTCATCATCTACACAACCTCCCAGCAAACGTGAAAAAGCTTTTTTAAGAGTAACAAGCGTTTTTAGATGCAAAGATAAATATATTTTAAATTATTCAACTTCTAATGTTTTATTGCAACATTGTATCATACATCGATGCAGAAAAGTGGGACGCGTGTGTACACACATGTCTAATTTCTGAGAGACAAACAGGCCAACGTTCACGTTATCTATTCGTAGCAAATGCAGGAAAATACTCACGTCTGATCTAACTGAACGAACATGCAACTATGAAATAACTCAAATGTTCACCATCGTTTAACCACACAAATCAATTAAACAAACGAGTAACAAAATATATTATCGCAAGGACAATAAAAAAAACAAGTTACCGCGACATCTGTGACCTTTTAACAGAAACTAAACTAAGGTCAACCAATTACAATTTGTAATCGATCCATATATTTCCTCTGCCTGACATGCCACAGATCCACTACTTGAGATCCACGACGATGTAGTCAACTTCCAACATTCCAAAGATATTAAAAAAATGCGAGCGTCAAAATTGTATCGAACCTCTTCTCAAAAAATTCATCGTTTGAGGGGAAATGCGTATTTGGCTATTTTGAGCACGTGCAATATAAAACACAAAAGCAAGAGTTCAAACTGAAATAAAGTTAGAAATGTGCAATAAGTTACTTCCACTATTTAACCTAAGATAGTTTTCTGTGTCAGTACATTGGAAGACAATGTAGTATGACGCTGGTGTAATCTCGTATTCAAATCTTAATCGTGACACCCAGATTTAAGAGAACAAAAGCTTGGCATCATCACGGAATTCTAAAATTGATGATCAAATGATATTGTAAATAATTTCTTGAATCCATTATCTTTTATCATTTCCAATTCTTGAAAACAAATGAAACTAGCAGAATGTGTTTCCATATGCGAAACACTCCTACATTTACCAATACCACTAAACACACTTTGACTAGGTCCCCTCGTTTTCATTTCTTAAATCACTTTTATATAGAAAAACATGCTCAATTATCTCACCTTTAACGTACATGTCACAAACATTTAGGTTGTCGTACGATAGTACTGTATTAATTCCGAACTTTAACTGTTTTCCCTATTCTAAGCACGTTTTTACTTTCTCGCTACGATTACGCAGCATTGTAATGCGGAAAATGGCGAATTTTCCGCCTAAAAACACTTATTGTCAAGTCCTGGTAACGAAAAAGTGGATAAATTTCCATATGTACAATAAATTACATACTCTAACATGTGTAGTCAGAATACACGTTTTGTGGATCCTAAACACCGAAAAATCGATTGACGGCAAAACGTGTCTGGGGACAAAGCTACGTCTAAACCGCACAGCCGATTTCCTCCAAAATAGACATTCCCCAATCTATCTGGCTGATGCCCGCGGCCCCTCGAGTTTGAAACCGATATTTTAATTTTTGGGGCACTTTACACGGAGCCCATAGAACACTTTCATTTTTTATTTTAATGGCTCCAAATTGTATTAAATTTTGTCGATGGCTTAAAAGACGCTCAAGAGAATGGTGTCAGCTTCATTTTCGTTGAAATTGCTAATTTTTTATAATTGTAAAAATTCCAACAAAAAAATCGGTGTCTTCCTAAAAATAAATATTAAGATATAAATGTTATCTTGATGAAATGGTTTCTTAAAGATGTTCTGTAAAGATGAGTAGTGTTCGTGTAATTTTGCGAGAATTATACGCAATTTGGAAAAACTTTAACAATTTGTTCTCAAACACCGCTCCCATTTCTCTCCTTAAATTTTCTCCTCATATGTGATGAGAGATGGTACAAAATATGGTGCAAATCACATTTTGGCTATATCTCAGTTATTGTTTCGAGAATTGCGAACATTTCTAAATTACAAAATTCTTCAGACAGTCCGTTTGCAAAAAATCAGCCCTTTAAAAAAGATCAAGTACAATTTTTAAAACAAGTTATTTTCGCATAATTTGCGCATGAAATGTATGCAATATCTGAAGAAAATTATACACACACACATATTATATATATATATATATATATATATATATATATATATATATATTCAAAAACTGCTCCAAAGTATTTCTTATAATTTTTTCCGCGGATAGAAGGGGCGCTTAAAACAATGGCGCAAGTCTCATTTTCACATTCAGAACTCTCCGTATTTTCGAATATTGCAAAAATATAACATTTGGAAACAACAAAAATTTAATAGTTTTGTCTTAAAAGACGTTCCAAAAACTCAGCACATTAAAATAAAAGCAGTAACATTTGCTTAAAAACCAGTTTTCGAAAATTTTCTGCATGAAATTAATGCAAAATTTACACGAATCCCACCAACTACGGGCCACGGGAAAAATACTTGGAGAACATGAATGGATAAACACAAACAATGTAATTTTAATTATAATTTATAATTGAAAATCCCAACATTAATTCTACTTTTACTCTATTCTACAGTTTGCATTCTCAATGTATTGGTGTATTTTATTTCAAAGCAAATATGAAATTAGCGGAATTATTCGTAGGTTTTCTCTTTAACTAGTGGTGCTGAAACACCACGTACTTTCACGCCATTATTAATGGTTATGTTATACTATTTATATAATTTCTCTCTGAATTAACACATCTCCGTCGTTTTTGTAACACTAGTTTGAAATTATAAAACATTTGGTGCGAAACTGAAATACTGTCAAGCAATATTTTTTTTAGTCAAAACTTTAAACGAAATTTTTTTTTTTTTGGCATTGAATAAGGTATGCAGTGTATTCAGGAACAT